TCGATTCGACAACTATTAAAACTACACTGATCATAACTACAACTTTAATTAATACCAAAACACAAAAACTTTGATTTTCTATTTTAAAAAATTGCTTTTTTCATTTTTATATATAAATTACTAATAAATTTAATTCACGAAAATAGGCAAATCTATCTTATGAATTTAGCAAAATAGTATACTATATAACATATCAAACGATCTTATACTTGCCAAGTTCCAAGCTAAAATAGAATTCTATACAAATTCTTTGTCTACCAATTATTTATTATAAAATTTTGCTCAAATAGAATTTTGAGAAATTTTGCCACCATTATATATTATTATTCATTATAGCATCACTTTCTTTTAATTTAAAAGTACAGTAAATTGTTATTTATATTTGATATATAGAAACCCTCACAACAAAAAAGAGCAATGAGACAAAAATTTTAATTCTGTAATATTATATTATAAAAACTGAAATTGATTAAAATAAAAATTTTTTTTTGGCTCATTGCCCCTTTTTGCTACGGGGGTCCCATATTTAGTCTTGATCAAACATGGCCATTGGTATATTTTGGTAAACTATCCATATATAGCAATATTATAATTAATTAATTATTATAGTCGGATTATTTATTCTTCATTTGCAACAAGCTATCAATTAAATTAAATTTAGAATACAAAGCAACCTTGTGAAAGATATGAAAGATGGATATGATGAGATACATACCCAACAATCCAATCTAAATCCTCCGCTTTTATTAATAAATCCTAGAATACGATCAACCTAAAGTTTATAAATCATGATAAAAATCTTATATTAATAATAAATAAAAAATGTATTTAGATGAATAAATTTAAAAATCTTTTTTTTTTTTTTTTTTTTTACGTTGATATGTAAAACCCCATGAATATCGATTTCAATCTCTACAATCGCGCCATCTGCTGCTGTTCTCACAAACTCTTTACTAAGAAACCTATTATTATAGCTATAATAAGGCAATCACGATAAATAACTTAATATTTATCAGTTATATGGTAAATATACACGTAAATTTAAAACATACGTAAAACCAAAATTTGGTACAAAAATATTATGATATATTGTGGTATCATGAGCAATCGCGGCCTGTTAAAGTTCATTTACAGATATTAAAGATTGTTTTTTCAATATGTATTCACTTCATGGATCAAATTTAAAATATTGCCTCGCTTTCACCATACACATCGGATGTTTTAATTCGAACAAAGGACTCTTTATCCTGAGATGAATGTTTAATAGTAAACATATTACCGAATAGAGAAATATCTTTAAAATATTTTTTGAAATTAAGTCCCTAAAAATTAATTTGTAATTAGTAATAAAAAATAAAAAAAAATTTTTTTCGGTGACATAGATATCATCAGTTACCGAGACTGCAAATTTTGTTACAAGGTTTTCATCAAGGCGAGGATTCTCAGGTTTTGCTGACTCAAGTCTTTCGAGTGTCCATGTTGTCTTAATATCACACTGTTCAATACTTTAATAAAGTGAAAAATCATTAACAATTATTTCAAAATAAATTAATTACAACAGACACTTACGTTACTATTAGTGGTGAAAATAACGATCGGACCTCGAGAATCCAGGTTATTTTTTGTTCATCACTCAACCAAGAAAATCGACCCGAATGAAACATCGTTAAGGATTCTAAAAACGCTTCACCAAATATTGGAAGATGAATTTCTTGATTGGACTGAAAATCGTATTGCAAAAACTGCTGTCTTTTAATAACTGCAATTTCTAATATTTGAATAGATAAGATATATATGTCACAAATGGTGCATAAACCAATGCGATAGCCTTAAGTACAGTACTAACTGTGAAAAAAATTTAGGGATGCGATTTGAATCCTTATTTCCTCTCCATTAATCAATAAATGTGCATCCTGTTTATAAATTTATATATTTTATTATCTATCTAATGCAAAATTTGGTGACAATTAATAAGGTTTAAAATTACTTTATTTTTAGTCACAATTGCCTTCAAAAGCTTCCCGAATATTTTAGTATCTGAAATTTTGCCTATAAATATTGGTTGCTATTGTAAGGGATCAACAATTTAGTCTATTTTGGTATATTTATTTGCTGTGGAAATTGAAGGTCAAACGCGCTTACCGCAATGTTAGAATTGTTTGACATTTTCCTTTGTATACACTTAAAATATGGAGTTAACAACTAAAAACACCGCTTATGACTTTTTTCAATTCCGAGAAAATCGCGTTTTAAAGATTTCCACAGAAAAATCGTTCAAGATCTTCACTAGCCAATCAAATTTCAAGATCAGGTGTAATCAAAACAACGAAGCTATAATTTCTCATAATAAGTTATGCTTAGTTATAATAAGGATGCCAAAGTCATGACTCATAATTGATCCATAACGCTAATATCAAATAATTTATTTTAATTCTCTATTTAAAAATGTTTTTTTGGCTGATTAGCTTTTTTTTTTTATTCAATATATTAGAAATACAAACTTTTTAAATACAGATTTTATTAAAATTTTCTTATATACAGATTAATTTTTGGGTTTACTATGGAAAACATAATACAGCTTCTTTCTAAATACAAATTTTTTTAAATATTTTTTGAGCAGTTGTATTTAAAAAAAATTAATTGTAAAAAAAAAAAAAAATAGTTTTTTTATACAAAAAATTAATTTTATATTTATAAGTACAAACTAAAACATATTATTTATTTAGATTTATATTAAAAAAACAAACAAATATTTTGAATTAAACAAAAATATTATTACTACTAGCTATTTTTTTTATTTTCAATTTTTTTTTAATTTTTTTATTTATTATTATTAAGATTACAATAATACAAAATATATAATAATAACTTTTATAAGAATATTAATATCTATATTAAAATTTTTATTTATTAATAGATAGGATTTAGGCTTTTGTACTATCAGTAGTACAATTAAAAAAATAGTTTAAAAATCTAAAAAATTATTTATCTAAAAAATTTTTATATACAAAAATCTGACAATTATCAAAATTTAATTTAGCAGAATTTTTTTTAATATTATTAATAACAATTTTTTAAAAAAAAATTTTTTAACTGCTATTTTTTGTAAGTTTTAGTGTACTACAGTCTTTTACTCTACCGATTATTCTTTTGATTTATAATAATAAACTTTAATTTTTGTAAAAATTTCATATAAATCGTAATGTTTTGGGTTCTTACAACTCTAGTGCATAAGTAAAGTAGGTTTTGTAAACTTATTTTTTATCATCTCGCAAATGTGACAACGAACCCTGAATTGAATTAAATTTTTTGAAAACTACAATACAGTATAGCGATAGCGGATAGCTCAAAAAAATTGGGCAACCTATAAAAAAAAAACAAAAAAAATACTAATAAGTATACGTATAGATCAAGTGAGATGATATCAATTTTAACTTAATATGGATCGTG